ATATTTTAATCCTCAACTGAGGATATTTTTTTCTGTTGATTTTTAAAGAGAGTGGAAGGGAGGGAGGGAGGGAGGGAGAGAAACATTGATTGGTTGCTTCCCGCACCTGCCCTGACCAGGGCTGGGGATCAAACCTGCAACCCAGGTGGATGCCCTTGACGGGCAATCGGACCTGAGACCCTTCGCTGTGTGGGCCGATGCTCTAACCACTGAGCAACACCGGCCAGGGCGAGAAAGGCCTATTTTTTAGGTTGAACCATTTCAAATCGCTGTGCAGGTTGGCGAGATCGACTCATATACCTGCAGTTTCAAAGGGTTGGGCACAGCACCAGCCCCGCTTGCTGAAGGGGGGCTCACCCCTCCCTGGGTGTGATCAGGCCGTTGCACTGTCAGATAGATGCCTGAGAGCTCAGGCTGAATCCACGCGTCCAGCTGGCTTTCCAAGGGGACGCTGACCGGGATGCAGCGTGGCTCCCTGGGCTATGAGGCCTGGGCGGGCCTTCCATGCCCTCTGGTCAGTGTTGTCNCGGGCCTTCCACGCCCTCTGGTCAGTGTTGTCATTGCACCCACCAGCCCACTGGACACAGATCAGGTCAGCGACTTGCTTGCATCTCCTGAGCTCTGTGCCCCAGAGCCAGGGCCAGGACCCCTTTGCTCTCTGCGCACACACAGTTGCCCAGAGGCCTCCGGACCCAGGTAGGCGTTGTCCATGGGAAAACACGCCCCCGTGGGCTTCTGAGGCAGGTGGGCACAATGAGCCTGGGCTTGCGCTGCTTTTCGTGCAGAATCGCCAGAGATAATTGTGCAGCTACTGTTGAGAGGGGCCTGCGCCCGATGCGTGGAGTGCTGCCTGGAAATTACCAGCCCTGGGAACACTGGAAAGTCAGTGTTCCCAGAGCTGGTAATTTCCATTTCTAAAGCCCGTTAAATTGGTTTCTGAATTATGTAATTTCTGCGCCTGTGTTTTTCTAACAGAAATATAAGGCATGCTGTAAAAATAACGCTTGGGACTTTTTTTTTTTTTTTAAACCTCGAGGGAGGGATATGTTCAGTGAGGAACAAAAGCTGCTTTTCCTCTTGTAAGCAAGTGCCTGACTTCGGCGCTGACTGGGGGCCTCCGCTTCAAAGAGGCGTCTGCGGCCTGGAACGAGCGCCCCGCGGGGGCAGGTGCAGAGCCG